CATTACATATTATATCCCAATTAAAATCACACCTATTATCCAAGGAGTGTTCATGCTAATTTTTGTCAAGATTGGTCAAGCAGTTTAGATCTTTATTTAAGACATACATAGGCTACATACATACATCTTACATTCTACTATATAAATTAGTATTAGATATATTGATTGGACACCATTGCAGGGGCGCCTTTCCCTGATAAGAAAGATCTCAATATCAATCATAAATAGGCCTACATGATGTTAAAAGTGGTTTAATCTTAAAAATTTTAATATAGAATCTTTTTGAAATGTAAACCCAAATATTACTAATAAGCTGTTTCTTTTTCTTTATTGATTAACAGTTCTAGACAAAGCTGATGGTAAAGTTGATGGCTACTGCTTTAATATTAACTATGACATGCCAGAAATTTCAGGATCCAAAAGTGACGAATACATTTCCAGATTGCGTAAGATGATTAACATTCATTTATTTAAAAAAAAATTATGTATATTCTATTATTGTAATATATTTTTTATTTTTTTAAGTCATAGGGTAAAGTAAGTTGAAGAATGAAAGAAAAAAAAAAGAATTTTACATGTTCTTTGACAGTTTTTCTTGTCTGTATAAATTTGACTTGAAGAAAACTAGATGCACATTTACTGAATATGCTGTTAAGAAAGACATAAACATCAATAATGAAAACAAAGTAACCCTTTCAGACCTTGCAATCTATAGGGCTGATGATGTAAAGATCATCTATTTCTGTGGCCAATGGTTACCAACTGTGTCATGTGGCCAGCACAATGACCAACCGCTTTTACTTTCCCCATCTAACGTTAGGAACCCATCAGAGTTAGGTGGACTATTTCACAAACATTTTAATGCTCTAAGAAAGAATGCCAGCTTTTTATCACACCTCAATTTAAAGACAAAAATGCTAGACAAAACTGCAGTGATTAAACATGGTGTTTATGATATGGTTTTCTATAGAGACATCTAGAATATTCAATATTGATTTTAAGCAATTAGACCTGTAAATATTTATACATGTAAACAAAATTGTTAAAACTTTTTTTCAGATTTAAATAGATGTTTCTTGGCATTCTTCATCATTGCCATTGTTTTGTTCTTGTTGGCTTATGTGTTTGGTTTGATTTTGTGTTGCATGAAGGTCTCCAGATGGGCTTACATTGCAGGATTATTTTCCTACTCAGCAGGTGAGGTTCTTATTTTTGTATTGCCGAAGACAATATGCCTGCATATTGAAACAAAATTAAAATCTATCTGCAAAATTTAACTCTATACCTACATTGTTTTTCATTTATTGGAAATATTTTGTAAAAAGTTCTTGAAGTTTTCTGTTATCTAAATGTTGAGTGGATCATTCTGTGAAGGTATAAATTTATAGACACCATAGTCTAATTAGATTGAAATATCTCATCATGGTCACACTTAAGTTATCTTCAAATTTTAGAGCATTTAAATGTATCTGACTTATTTTAGTTAAAGAAATGTCAAAACAATTTTATGCAAATCTAATTTGCTTAGGTTGTTTTTTTTTTCATGTGTCATGAAATACAAAATTTGTTGTAAATGTTACCCCTTCAAACTCTTCTTCTACCTTACTGTCCTAAGAGGTGAGTCTAAGATTCTTGAAACTCTAGGCTTATGGAAGCTTGCCTCCTTATAACTGTCTGAACACAAACTTTTGTATGGGAAAGATCCAAGCAGATGTAAGTTTGTACATCCGTCTAATCAAGATTATTAGAAGCAAAGCCAAAAGTCTTGCACATCTGTAAACTCCCCCCATATTCCTTTACTGTACCACACCAGCCGTGCAGGTGTCCACCATAATAACGGTCCTTAAGAAACAGTGTGTGGATAGTGAGATGCTTGTTGGGTTTTCTTCCATCTCCACCAATGCAATGGACGCTGTCCTTAAACACACCAATGTAGGTTCTGATTTGCATACCTATTGGCTTAATTGTCTGCTCTAACCACTGTTTCTACCCAAGCGCTGCTATAAGCCTGAAAAGTATTGCCCTAGAACACAATTTACACAAATGTTTGAGAGAAAAAGGGATTATATGACCAATACAAAAAATATTCTATTTTCTAAAAGATCTACATGTTGTTTTTTTTAAAACTAAATTAAGATCTTTTAGCTCTTTTACCTGTATAAAACAATTTCATTAATTTTAGTTTTTAAATATTTGTCAATGTTTAGCATTCTCACTGGCTGCTGCTATAGCTTTCTTCCATGGTGCTGAGTACATAGAGAGAAATAAACTGAAAGATCCATACTTTTACTTGACGTGGGATGAGGTAGGAAATACTTGCTTGATCATGTTTCATTGAAAACAAAGTCCCGAAGTTTTCTCCTTAATCTGTAGCTAATTGTTTGAGTACAATATTTAGTACCTCCATTTTGTTTTGTTTTCTGTCACCCTTAATATCTGACTCATTGTTGTGTATGTCTACAAATACTAAACTTAACGAGAGTGTCAGGTGGCCAGCTACCCATTAGAGCTGGGCAGACTCAGAAAGATCTCAAAATAAAAAATCCCAGTCTACACCAGGTTTTGGACCCGGGTTCTCTGGTTTGGAAGTCGAGTAATTTACCACTCAGTCACCTCACTTCCTCTTATTCCATATGCTAGGACAAATTTGTACAATTGCTCCTTTTTTCCTAGTGCTATTAGAGCATAGAATGGGTTGCCTGAATCAGCCAGCAATACCAATGATTTGGCAGAGTTTAAATCACTAATTAACATGCATGACTAGATTGACACAGGGACATGCTTAGGATGTAATCATCTTCATTTCTAAGTAACATCAGTAACTTATAAGGTAAGAGAAGATCTATTCTCATTTGAGAAGCAGTTTATGCTCATCAGCTTCCTAAAGTTTTCCACCTCATGCATCCCAATTTATGGTAGATTGCTTTGCAAAAAAATTTTAGCATAACCGTCCAGAACACCTGCTTAAAAGACTATGTGAAGAGCTGCCTGATCTAGAAACCATTGTGTAGCTCAATCATCATTAATTTAATTAAAAAAAAAAAAAAGAAAATATAATCTGTTATTACTTACCATGTACCTTGAACAACTAAGCACTTTCATGATCAAAATTGCAGTGCTATATGCCCCCCCCCCCCCCCCCCCCCCCCCCCCCCCCAAATTTTTTTGTTTTTATAAAGACGAAATGCTGACATTTGTTAGCATAATATTGCACTTCCTTTTATTGTAAGCATTTTAATGACAGTGATGTGCAATTCGTTTCTCCAACTTTCAATGTTTAATGCTAATAAACAGCTCAGTTTTTCTTTGCAGCAGTATTCTAAATGTGTTTAAAATTTATATTTTGTTTTTGTGTTATTATTCGTTTTTATCTTTTTAGTCTCTGGTGTGTTGAAGTGTTTAAAAATGTACTGTTTTTATTAATGTTATTACTTTTGTTAGTAGAGATTATTGATTGGTCTTTTCTGTCCTCAGTCTCTAAAAACGTACACTACACGTAATTATGGATGGTCCTATGCACTGGGCTGGGTTGGAATGATCTTGGCTGCTCTCTCTGCAACGTTCTACTCTCTGGCCGGATGTTACATAACTAGCGAGAAATACGAAGACCGTGAAGTTCTGGAGAAGCAAAAGGGACGTGACTATCCCATTGCTATGGAACCTGTTTATGCAGTCGGCACTGACCCTTACTATACAAAGAGTTACGGATACCCCCGTGCCTACCTGGGCCCTATGGCTCCTGAATATTACGCCAGATCCTACCCAGCAGTTGGCTATGGTGATCCTAGTAAAGATATGTGGCATTGGAGGGAGATGGAAAGTTAAATTGCATTCAGAAATTTGAAATCAAATTATTCAGTGGAACTACTTAAAACCAAATTTTAAAAAACTTAAATCTACCCATTATCTACTTAATATTTTTTTAAGTCTAGGGGGATCTACAAATTTTAATTATTGTGAAACATTTTTTTTGTCATAAAATTGTGTTAAGACATTCTTCTAAACTGCAGCATCTAAATATAATTACATAAACTAGTAAAAAAATGAAATATAAATGATGGTCAGCCAGTTTGCAATAAAATAAATTTTTTAATGAGATAAATCAAAAACTTAAATAACTATTATATTTTCATAAAATGATATTGTAAGTGTTTCGTAATTTAGATTCTTTATTATAAGGGATTAGTTATTTTATCAAATGAAAATGCAATCTTTTTATAATTAAATTTCTTTTTTTTTTTCTTTTCACAATTCAAATTGCCAGAATTGGAAATAAATTAGACAAAATGTTTGCATTTTGATGAAATCTGAATTTTACCTGGTTCTGACATCATATGAAAAGTACAACATGGATATAAGAAAGTAAGTTAAAATATGTAGGCAAATAAGGTTTAACATGAGTTTAATGTCTTCCTGTCATCATGATCAGACAGATGACCCAGTTCTGATGACAAATCAGGATATTTAGTCAAAAACTTTAAAATCAGAATTAAACATCTCTGATCTGAAGCAGAGTTATGAAAAGGTAGAGAATGTGTTATGTAGTTCAGACTGCTGCTGTTATTACCATGTGTTCTATGTTTGGCCCATGTGTTCCAACTGGAACTTAACACGTATGTTTAGGCATGCTTAAAGACAATATAGCAGTAAAGTGACAGTTGAAAAATTTGACACGCCCCAACTATCATTAGTCATGAGCTTTTACCAGACTCCATAAAAAACGTTGGGATACTAGTTATTAGTCTATAGTAATGTTTACGTCTAACATTTTATGTGCAGTTCTATAATAACTTCCAATCATCAAAACAGAACTTCCTTTCGTTGTAAATGTTTTTTTTTTGCAAGAAATAAGAGTTTTTTGGTAAAAAGGAATTTTTGTTTCTTTTTTTTATGATTTGCATAACCGTTGACATACAATTCTCATAACTACAGCGTTTATTTTATTTTTATTGTAAGTTCCATCTTCAAATGCTACTTTATCACTTCTGGTGTTTATATATATACATATATATATATATATATAATTTTTGTTGTACTTTTCTTTGTTTTAGAAATACATGTTTTACTTAACTATTTTTTTTCTTTGAAATTAGGAACAAAGAAGTCATTTTAAAAAAAAAATAATTTTTTTTTTATATGTAAAATAATTTTGTGTGTATATTTTTTAACTGCTAAGAATTGTGCCTTGGTGAGTGAATTGTGTATTTACTTATACATTTGTATTTATATATAATATATATATATAATTTTAGTTTAAAGTTATATCCTCAAGATCTGATAAATTGTGCCATTAAGGTGCAGAAAATAATTGTGAGTGAGACGTGAATGAAACTATAAAAAAAAAAGTTGTTTATTTAGTGTTACCTTGTTGTTTTGTTATCTATTTACACTATATTTATACATTCCACATGTAGAAAGTAGCTGGTTTGGCTGTGAAGTTTTTTAAGTTATTTAGATGGCACCTACTATTTTAGTTGAACAGAAATATTCGAACAGCTTAATTGAAAATTGTTACATTTTTTTAAATAATATTTTGAAAAGTCATTGTTACAATAATTATGTATAGTTTTTATGATGTTGACATCTTTTTTTTTTTTTTTTGAGTATTTTTGTTTTAAAACTAAATTTTAATTCTGACATTAAATGGATAAAACAATAAATCATGTATTATAATTGTATTTATAAAATATTCCTTTTTTTTTTTATCACTACTACTTACCACTCTGTAACTTTTACAATTTATTGTACTTAAATATTTGGATTCATTTTCTTAAAATAGAAAAATATCTGGCCATCTAAACAAACCTATTTTAATCAAATGTCATTGACATTTCAGTTATTATTTTTTTCATATCTCCATTTCCTGTAAATGTACAAGTGTTTCAATCTTTGTGAAATGATTTATATGAAAGATTATGTTTTTATTTCTAGTACCAGTTTTGACTTCTGTATAATGAAACATATTTATATACAACTATATGATTACAAACAATAAACGTTTCTCAAAATTTTCAGCAGAAACAAATTTTGAAATGTGTTTTGTCTTTTCTTACTAATTAAAATGCATGAGAAATAAAACTAATGTCTATGGTTTAAAAAAAAATGAAGTCATTAATATCATGATTAGGTAAAAATACTTATCCAGTCTGTTATTTTCTACTTAGCAATCATGCTACAATGGAATAACACTATCCAACATAAATTTTTCCTACAAGGTAATGTGATTTTTCTTTTCCCAATGTAGACCTCTTGTTTGCTTCTATCCAACCCACTTTTTTTTCTTTGTTTATTTAGGACATTTATTCAGAAATTAAGATAATAATGTCCTAGCCAAAACCTCCTGCAGGATAATGGACGATAGCTGTCACCACAATTCACACTCAGGACCATGGTGATGGCAGTCCAAAAGGCAAATCACATAACATGGCAGCAATTCTACGCTATTAAAAGAGAAACAATCAAGATGATTGTAAATATAATATTTTAAAGTTTTCTTCTTTTTCTTAAAATAGAAATCACTACATATATCTACATCATAAGCTATTGACAAAGAAAATATCTGGGACTTAAAATGACATTGACAAATTTTATACAGAATTTTCAGATTTGAAATGGAAAGACTTATGTTATGAAAAATGTCATAAAACAAAATCTGAAATAATTTTATGTATTTTAGCACATTTAATTCTCTTTGTTTACAAATTGTGATGTCGAACAATATCACTAGGAACGTAGATTACATTTGATTTGGTTGAGCAGCAGTTGTCAAATTTAAAATGCATACATCATCAGCTTCAGAATAACAGGTTTTTGTTTCCTTATTAAAGTTCAAGGATAAAACAATTAAAATATCATTAAGTAGAAAAAAATTCTTTTTACAAATTCTGATTGTTTTAAAGCTGGGTAAAAAAACAACTTTTTGCTGTACTGTGGGGCACTTTTAACCCTTTTTGCTGTACTGTGGGGCACAATTAACCATTTTCGCTGAACGGTGCAGCACAATTACCACTTTTTGCTATACTGTGGGGCTGTTTTATGGGGGGGGGGGGGGGGGGGGGAAACAAAACTTGTATTACTTCACAAACATACAGTGTAAACATTTAAAATAGTAAAAATAAAAATGTCAACACATTTTTTTACACTGAATTCTAGACATATTTCAATAGTGTAGTTTTCTTTGGAATGAAAAGTTATTCAACTAGGAATACATATTTAAAAAAATACATCTTACAAATTCTAAACTATTAACAAATTGAAGCAATCTTTACATTTAAAACAAATTGAAGCAATCTTTACATTTAAAACTGGAACACAGTGCTTGTGGCATTTGTAGAAGCCTAGAAGAAATATGCAATACTCTGGAAAAGTCTTTATAACTTTTTATATTTCCTAGTGTTCTGAAGTTCAAAGTTGTTTTTTTACAAGCCTTTAATGCAGGGGTTCTCAATCTGTGGGTAGCGACCCCCTCAGGGGTCGATTGACAATAAGCCAGGGGTCGCCTACGACCATCAATAAATGGATTGTTTTTGTCAATTCTTCTATTGCTGTGTGGGTCGCAGAAGAATGAGTGGTTGTAAAAATGGGTCGCCAAGCTTAAAAGGTTGACAACCGCTGCTTTAATGACTATTTCTTTCAATTTACAAAATGAGACCATGAAGGTTTGAGAACAACTTACTGAATGTTTCTAATAGCAAGACTCCTTAAAATTGGTCATACAATATTAGTATGGGATTTGTCAATGCTTAGTACACATAGAGTGAAAGAATTTGATAAAAAAAGAAGTTGTATAAAATAAAGAAGTTACCACTAACATTCACTTCTATTGGAATGAAAAGGAAAAGAGAAAATGTTGGAATAATTAAAAATGTAAAGAGACACCGTAACATGAAATTTTCACAAATGGAACAGAATAGTAACAATAATATCAAGTCGGTTCAAGAATGTCACAAATCATGTCATTTGAACTTACAGCTTTGATAGTGCATTCCCAATATAGGATCAATTAGAGAGTTAACAAAGAGGTTCCCAAAGTGTTTTCTCAAGGGCACTAACCACAATTGCACCCTAGCCCCAGCAATGCTATAGATTCAGCAAAAGTACAGTCCATGATTGAAAGAAATGTAGGTACAAGCGGATACATTTCTCCTTTAATTTTTAATGTGGCAATTCAGCTGTAAAATAAAAGAATCATCCAAATTCATCTTTAGTTTTAATTTCAGTTTAAATCAAACATTTTACTGTTGATTTTGAATATAAAGTTTTTCCGTTTTCTGTTGTCACATGTAATTTTTAAAAAAGAAACTTGTTATGTATTATATCTAAATTTACTCATTGTATAAAAAAAAAACAACGGTTGCATGATATTATGACATCTGCTTCATATCTTCCTAAGTTTATGATAGTTCACTTGGGGGTAAACATTAAATATTCTAATTTAGTTTGCTTTTAAACACACACATATATTCCTAGTGTTAAAGAAAACATCTAAATTCTATCAGGTGTTGAAGAAGACATCTATCGGGAGCTCAGTTCAACAGCAACACACAACAAAAAAAGATATGTTTAGTCACATTCATTTCAAGGAACTTATAATCTAGTTCATTAGGTTTTTGTGGCCATGTATGTCACTGCTAGCGATGGCACAATAACATCAAGAAAGGATAGATATGTTAATGAAAGAGACTCTCTTTGCAAAAGACAGAGGAATGAATGCTTATACTTCAAAACACTTTTTTTTATTATAGCTTTTACAGAACTTCAAAATCATCACTAGCTGCTATATCATTTTGTAATCAAATTGTTTCTGTCATTTAAATAAACCTTCATTTCATTTTTGAATTTGGTGAGTGGCAAAGATAATGTGAAAGTTATATATATATATTTACTGCTGAAATGCATTAATGACTTTTTTTTGCTCACCAGTCAACAGAATATTTACTTGAAATCAATAATCACAACCAACCAAGTCCACTTATAAAGAAACTAAGTAACATGCCCACTGATTTCACTTAAATTTAAATTAAAAATTAATATTTCCATACTAATAAAAATATTAAATACTTATAAAGTAAAAAAAAAACAACACAACAATATTTAAAAAAGAAAACCCAATTCCAAAAACAATTTCAAACAGATCAACCTTTTCACAGGAACACTAGAGATCAAAGCTAAGGGACATAAACATGTAGCACTATTTGGTCAAAAAAATTAATTTTATCAGATGTCAAAAATCTGTTTCCAAGAAATTCAAAGAACTTACACTACAAAAATGGAATAACAAATATTTGTGGTTAAATTCAAATGTTTAAAACTTTACAGGTTTTTTTTTTTAAGCTAGATGATTTAGTTTCAATAATAGTTCTGTCCTTTAATACAGAAAACAAATGCAACAAGGAAGTTTAAAAAGACACAAATTTGTCATGGTAAGATGCCATTGTTTAGATGATGAATAAAATGTACCTATTGCACAACAGAACATGAAATGATGGGGAAAAAATATGGAGACAGATCACATGTTACACAAATCTTAAAAAATTCAGTTACAGTTCAATGTCATTGACAGCTACATCTGAAATGTATTAATGCTAGTAAGTCTTAGGTCATTCATAATGATCTTTTATAAACACTAATCACAATTCAATGTCAGTTCTTATGGGTCAATCACTAACTTTTTGGTTAATGATATGTCAGTAACTCAGGATGGATCAAACAGCTACCAGGATGTGGGATTTTGTTGAACTAATGGGCTGCTAGTTGATCATTACATAAAAAAAAAACTTAAACCTAACAATGGAATTTTAAAAAACCCAGTAATTCCCTAATTTCAAACACAAAACCAATCCAATTTAGTGTTTTAAATTTAAAATAATGAGCCAGAAGTCATTATTAAAATTAGATTTTCTGCAGCAAATGATTATCTAGAATTTCTGTAGATGTTAGGCATTCAAGGTGGTTTTTTTGTTTTACTGTGCCTTTTTTTTTTCATTACACAAGTGTTGAAATTAACAATTTGATAACAGCCAAAAGACAGAGGTATAGACACTAAGAGCAGTTGTCAATCACATACCAGTTTCCCCAACTGTACAAAAGTTTTTTTCAAAGTAATGCTTGGATTTCACAGGCATTCTCCTGTCAATTATACTCAGAACTTGACTTTAAAATCATCATCATTATCATTGGCCTCCTTCAGTCGTAGAACGACTATGGTTCATCTCAAAGCACACTTCCTCATGTGGCTGTGGAGCCCTATTTTGGAGAGACACTCCCGTCCACAGATAGAGCAGTTTAAGGTGGCTTTTGCTTCAGTGGTAGAAGAGCTGGCCGTTTTTCGGATTGTGCATTTTTCTTCTGAGCTGAGACCCATGTACTTTCACTGTCCATAGCTTTCTTGGTCACTGTCTCTCTCCACCTGTTGCGGTCTAGAGCTATGACTTCCCAATTGTCAGTATTGATGTTCACTGATTTGAGGTCACGTTTTATTATATCTATGTAACGGAGGTAGGGCGACCAGTTTTTCTTGTGCCAGTCGCGAGTTGACCATAGAGGATGACTTTCTGGATGCGCTTGTCCTCCATCCGGCGAACATGTCCAAGCCAGTGCAAATGACGTCTGAGGGCTGTAAAGATGCTGGGAATAGCTGATCGCGCAAGGACCTCAGTATTGCACACTTTTTCTTTCCATGTGACATTCAAGATCCTATGGAGACATCTCAAATGGAACGAGTTCAGTTTTCTCTCTTGCTTTGCGTAAGTGGTCCATGATTCACTGCCATACAGCAGTGTACTCATAACGCATGCCTTGTAGACTTCCATTTTGGTCACCGTAGTTAGCTTATGGTTTTCCCAAACTCTTGGTCTGAGTCTAGCGAATGTCGAGGCAGCCTTCCCTATGCATTTTTTCATTTCCACTTCTAGAGACAGGTCATCTGTAATTGTGGATCCCAGATAGCAGAATTCGTTTACGGCGTCCAGCTTGTTATCATCTATGAGGATGGAGGGTGGTGCTGTAGCAGGTGGTCTACTATATCACTAATTA